TATATTCAGCCACAAAATAAGTCTGAAAAGCCTGAAATCAGAACGAAGTACAGAGAGTTGTTGACTAGAGATGATACACCGTCTCATGGTGGTCACTTGCTGTCAACGTCACAGATCAGAAGCACAGAGAGTTGTTGACTAGAGATGATACGCCGTCTCATGGTGGTCACTTGGTGTGAACTAGCGGGTTTTTAAGAACATTGCACAACGGGTCATTGCAAGTAGTCCCCTGTTTCAACTCGTCTTGTCACAAATGTGTTTACTTTTCTGGATTCAAATATTTACCGAAAGCAGGGCGTCAACAGTTAATAAGGTTATCTGCTCATGATAAGAAATTAAAAACAATGGCAACATTGGAGGAAAAGATGTCAACAAAAGATTACAGGAAACGTCAGGACTTTTTTTAACTGGGGTTGTATGAGGAACTTATTCATAGTCAGTGTATTACATTAAGTAGATGTTGGTTGACAGCGCTCCCAGTTTGGAGAAGCAGAGGTACTGTCATGGAAGCTAAGCAATGTACTGCTGTGGACGGGAGCAGCAGCAAAATGTTTTCAAGCCACCTAAAAAAAAATCTATTAGTTTAATGGCTTATGGTATATGTTTAATATTTTTATTTCTTTACCTTTCTATCGAACAGCCCTTTCGGATTGGAAACTGAATTCTCTCTTTAAAGCCACCAGACTCCGTTACCACTGTCTCGATTTGTGAGTTTGTGTCATTGTGTGGCTTTGGTGAATCTGAACTAACCCTTTAAAGCACCAAGTTACACAATAACATAACTAACTAACCACTCGAGGCAGTGATGGACCAGCAGCTCCTGTGTTCTGTGAGGAAAAGTTACTGTTTTTGTCAAAGGAGTCTGGTGGCTTTAGATAGGCATAGATAAGGGCTTCAGTTCCCCGTCAGAAACTGCTGCTTTTAGGTGGATAAAGTACGTTTTGCTGCTGCCCCCATCAACAGCAGTACATTGCTGATCTTACATGGTGGCACTTCAGCCTGCATGAAAACATTTGTTCAGTATAATGTGTTAAAATTCTACTTCTGTGTGTTTGAATAGGAGCGGCGAATGGAGAAGAAAGCCAACAAGACGGCGTTTAAGGAGGAAAAAGTCCGACAGGAGAAGCAGATGTTGAACCTGAGAACGAACGTTCAAGGCCTGAAGCTTTAGTAGCCGACTGCCCGCACAGACTTTTTTCCCCCAAGCTGGTGGCATCATCAGCGGACACGCTGCTCTTCACTTCAGTGGAGCTGACAAACAACCCCATAATAGAGGACTGACGGGGTGCTGAGAGGCTCGAGTTTCCTCACATCATGAGATTAAGTTCAGTAAACTCATTAATGAACTTTATCTGCAGTGAACCAGCTCAACTCATCATGTTATAGCAGGCTGAAATCCAGTACTCCAGGACTAACGGCTGGGTACTGAAAAGACGGAGAATTAAAAACTGATGTACCAAAAGCTTTGACTGTCTGATCATATTGGTAATCTTGGTTACTCCTCTGATCACACGCTGATTTTAAATCGACATTTTTGGCAATTTCAGACTTTTTATTTCTTGTGTGGCTGCTCGTGTTAAATCCCATTTGAAAGAAAAGTTTTATAAAATACACTTTCCTACAAAGAGTCATGGAGAAGATCAATAACTCTTAAGTCAGTACATCAACAGCTAGGGCTGCAACTAATGATTGTTTGTCACTTTATTTTCTGGATTAATTGTTTGGCCTGCAAAACATAAGAAAACAGTGAGAGCTGAGATGAATTCATCAGATTTGTTTTGTCCAGCCATCATTTCCAAACTCAAAAACATCACATTTACTGTAATGTAAGACCAAGGAAAGGAGCAAATCCTCAGATTAGAAAACCTGGAAATATATTTTTGCCATAAACATTACTTAAACGTTAAATTGATTATCAGAATAGTTGCTGATTAATTTTCTGTTTGTTGAATAATAACTGGTTGCAGCTCTACTAGCAGCCTAAAGCTAACTTAGCTGAGCACAAAGACTAGAAACAGGTGAGGTACAGTTAGTCTGGCGGCTCCTACAGCTCAATAATGAACACCTCATATAATTGTTACAACAGTACAGAAACAGGTGTAAAAACAACAAACTGCTGTGTTACCAGGGTTACAAACCATTTCCTTGCTCTGAAAGAAAGAAGGAAACAGTCTGGCACATTGCCACCTGCAACCTGAGATAGAACATGTTAATCAGTAAGATTTAGAGGTGACGGTGGATTTTGTTACTGTTGGGCAGAGCGAGGTAAGCTGTTTCACCGTAGCCCTTTTTACACAGAGATCCCTTCTTTACGCCGCCTTTGCATTTTTATACAGAACCAAACGACGGCGGCATCATTCTGCTCTGGTGTGCGATTATGGACAGCATGCTGGCATCGCAGAATAAAAAGAGGTGTGACATGGAGTGTGACATAAAATATAGATGTTAGCAGCGATTTATAAACAATAACAACCATTTACCATCCCTGTTATATAGCGGCTGATCTGGTTCTCTGGAGGATAAGGAGCTCCCGAATGTCATTCATTTCCCAATTTGTGAATGTTTACAGCTGCTGTTCTTCTTTGAGTTAGCCGCTAACTGCTAACAGCTACCTTTTAAATCTCCTGTGGTGGGTCACAGGCATAACATGCCATCAAAATGTCACACCTGGGGTCCGTTTCACAAAGCAGGTTTAGTGAAAACTCAGAGTCTGTTAACCCTGAAATGAGGGAAACAATGAGTTTTCAATTTCAAAAAGGGAGGTAACTAAAACCAGAGAAAGAGGGGTAACTCTAGCCTGTTTCAGAGAGAGAGGTAACGTAAGCTCTCGGTCAGTTACCGTAGTAACAGACTCTGTGAACCTAACCTGGTCGGGACCAGGTTTTTCTCAATGAACCTCGAGTTTCTCTCTGTCTCCGCCCTCTTTCAGAGCCACACACTCCATTTGATTTCCTCATTCATTCAGTCAGCAGGCGAGTTTTGGCGTAGCCTAGTTCTGCCGTCTGTCATTAAAAAAAATCATTTAAAAAATCAGAGTCAGTATTAGAAGTCCATTAGGCACAGTAGGTGGCGACTTTTTTCACTAACATGGCATGTCCTTTAGATAACGATCCCGTGAATGAAGACGCAGAGAATTAAATATTCGTCGGGAGATGGTTATCAGACCGCGCATAGATGTTCTAGCATTTCCACACAATTATCTTTTTGAGCGGTACTGTTTCAAGTCACAGTCCATCATCTACATACACAACCTAATCCGTCCTTACATTTGCAACATTACCAATTGTAGTCATGCTCTCACATCCCAGCAGATATTGTGTGTTGCGCTGCGTTTCTTTGCAAATGGAAGTTTTTTGTACAATGTCGGAGACGCTGAGCACTTGAGTAAGGCAACTGTACATGTATGCAGGGCGGTCAGAAAAGTGTGCTCGTTTTACAGGCATCTGCCTTCTTTCTGTTGGCTGAGTAGAAGTCTGTGTTAGTTTAAATAGGCTTAATTATTTAACAGAACATAGTATAGATGAGAAGACATTTATGTGTGTGAAAACAGCATTATGTTGGGGATACAACAACTGCACAGTCAAACAGCCACTTAATATTTGCTTTACAATGTAGGCTAAAACATGATCAAAATGAGGTACCCCCATGAGATTATGCCGAGGTCTTACCTGTTTGAACAATGTTTTTATATTTCATCCTAAACTGCTGCCAAGTGCGCTTCTCCCCCGCGGGATTGCACCTAGGCCTAAATGAAATAAATTAATAGGCTACCATTCAAGCAGTTTTCCCCTGTAATATTATTGTGATTGCAAAGGACTGCATTTAAACTTATGCATTCTCTTACGCCGTCTCCCTCTCTTTTGCAGCTGCAGCGGTGTTGCACTTCTTTTTGAAAACGTGTGCAAACTCGCCGTATGAGCGCATTAAGATTTCTAATTCTAGTGGGGTGAAAAACGCAGCCCTCCTCTTCCCCGTTGCCATGGTGACTCGTCGAATCGGAGCTCAATTGATGCTGGCTTTTTATAGTTGTGGTGCACGCGCTTAACTCCAGGTGAAACTACTCCGAGTTGATTAAACTGATTCAAATCAGCTGTTCTGGAACCGGAAACTCAGAGTTTCCTATCTCAGAGTAGATCAACTCAGAGTTCAGGATTTGACTCAGAGTTTGTTGAACCTGTTTTGTGAAACGGACCCCTGTCCTGCAGGCTGACCTGTTTATACCGACATTGTTTTAGCGCTGTTACTACCTCGCATGGTGGCTTAATTGTGAGAACATTCAGTTCCCCCATTCCATGATCGTACCTTAGATACAGCACGATGAGGCGGCATCACTGCACAATATTTCCGCCTTGAATCGGATGTGTTAAAGTGGCTACTGTCTCCAGTCTTTCTGCTAAAATAATTTGGCCGCTGATGTAACTTCATATTTATTATAAGAGCAGTATCTTCACATCCAACTCTCTGCCAGAAAGCATACCTCCCAAAATAATAAACAATTCTTTTAACGTTGAAGAGCTGTGGCTCCTTTTTTTAGATGGGGAAAAAAAAGGAATTTGTTGGAAAATGTTTTTCTTTAAAAAAAAAGACATTGAAAAATAGTTTTGGTATTTGTGCAGAAGTTTGCCATATCAGGATTTGTATCTATAACTGTCCATCGACACCCAGCCCTTTAAACACTTATTTAAATTTGGAGTTAACAAAGGAGAATATTAATAATATTTATGTCTCTTTATTAAAAACATTTAAAAGTATTTTTTGTGAGTTTTCATGTTGATCTTATCAAACTGCACTTGTCCCCACAGGTGAGCTGATGATTATCTATCACACACGTATTTATTTAAACTTCAGGCTGACGCCAGATCAGAGCAGGAAATCTTTGGCAAAGCAACATGTTGTTTTTCCCTGTCATGCAAACGGGCATCAGGTGAAGTGGAGGAAGGGAACTTTTCTGTCCAGTTAAAAAACAAAAAACTTAATTGAATTCACATACATCTAACAGATTATTGTAAAATAGAATTTATTAACAAGGTTAAATTTGCCACAATAAAAAATAAAATAGAAAAAACCCTGAATTACTGTAAACAAAACCAATCATCTCGAACAAGAGAAACACTCCCACACATCGCCTACACAGAACCAGTTAGGCAGGTCCCAGGTTGCTCAATAACAGAATGGAAACACTGAGCGTTAACTGTAGCTCAGTGCCGAGAAATTAGGTGTGGCACATAACAATATGACTGAAAGATATTTATAATGCATGTCAATCTGCTGCCAGGAGTGGAAAGTCCAGACTGTATGAGGTGCTCAGTTTAACAACATTCAAAACGAAACACTCAAGCTTGCTCGGAACATCCAGGACGAGTCTTTTACCCAAACGCCAGAAAACATATTTTCTTATTTACCTGTAGTGGTACTTAAAGGTTAATATTTGGAGTTCAAATGCTCAAAATGACTTTAAAAGACTCAACATCTCTTTGCATAAATAGGTTTCCACATTTGCGGTAAACAATCCACAGATCTTTGCCATAAATATTTTTCATTAGAACTACTTTCTACCAAAGAAAAAGTCCCTGTGACAGTTGGTTCTGTGGATTATCATTTGTGGACCACTGATTCTAAAAACGGATTCAATTCACCCTTGTTTACTGTGACAATAGCAGGAATATTACACCAAATATACGACCAGACCTATCCACATGATTAAAGGTTCTGTATGTAACTTGAAGAAAATCGTTGTTATTAATAACTCCGGTGGCCAGCGAGCCCCCAAGCGAGCATTTGGGCATCGGCCAAATCTGTTTATCTCATTTGGACCACTGACTCCATGATTTTAACTAGCTCTCTGTTAACAAATGACTTAATCAGCTAATGTTAATATACAGCTAGCTGGCTAACCTTGGGTTCTGGTTAGGTAATAGACCGCCCAGCTATATGTAACTTATCTTCACTGCATGGATCTGTTGTTGGCTGCTGTGTGACGTTATCTAAGTAATTTGCTAACCAGCCCCGGGAATCTGGATGAATTGGATCATGTTAATCACTCTAGACAGTATTTTGCTACATTACCAAGCTAGCAATTCATCTGTGTTAGCACATTATTGCAATATACCCACATATTTCACGTTATTAACGTGGTTTTTCTGCATCGAGGGGAACTGAATTTGATGAATTTACTGTTTGTTAGACCACAAATGAAACAAGAATTAGCGAGCGCACCACATGGTCCCTCCAACTCAACCCCACTACTCGGAGACAACTTCGCCGGGAGGAGAGCCGACGGCAGCTCCGGAGACGGACCTTCAGTCACCTCCTGTAGCAGCTCAAATTCAGCCAGCGCAAGTGCAAGTAAAGGTTCGTCTCTACCGGGCCACCGCTGCAAAATTTATATCACGAAAACACAGCATGTTTGACTCTGTGCTGTGGTGGATGCTGGTCATTTGTTGATGTTAGTGGACTCCTTTTCTAACTTATGTCAGCTACTATTGCACAGTGTTAGCACTGTAGTGGAGCTCAAGAGTCAAGGCACTCGGCAGTGTGCATGATGTCACATCCTTTTGAATTTCCAACAATTTGAAAACTTTACATAGAAATCCATCCTAGCGAGCAATTCCCCTTGACCGATCAGGTCTAGTTATTATTATACATCTGGACGGTGCTGTTGCAGCTGTTACAGTCCTGTTATGTTATCCCCACCACTTGCAGTCGCCATGTTTGTCAGCTCAGCTGCCTGTCCCACCAGACTGACCTTAGGTGGCATATGATGTGCACTACTTACAAAAAATCCTCAGTTCATCGTCTCATTCATATGAGGACAATAGAAAGATGAGTGTCTGTATTTTTGACAGTATTAAAAATCATATTATCATATTTCTAAATACCCTGGTATACCATGACAATGCTTTTTTGTGTGCCATTTGGGTGAACTTTCCTTTAAAAACAAAACAAAACCATACATGCTGATGAAGATAAAAAAATGGAGCTCCTTCCCTTCATGAAAAACAGCCACACATACAACAAGTTTCAGCCGATACTTAAAGACAACCTTTAAATACCACTTGATGAAAGTGAGACAATGCTTTTTTGTGTGCCATTTGGGTGAACTTTCCTTTAAAAACAAAACAAAACCATACATGCCGATGAAGATAAAAAAAATGGAGCTCCTTCCCTTCATGAATAACAGCCACACATACAACAAGTTTCAGCCGATACTTAAAGACAACAGAAAGCACTCGTACAACTTGTTCTTCTTTTGAAGCGTGTTTTCTTTGAGATGAAAAATTTCCGGATGGTGTTTTGAAGCAACTGGTCTGCACTGCTGCATCTGATAAAATGCCGCAGGAGCAGAGATGGCTGAGGGTAAAAGATAGAGCTGTATACCTCTGCAGCCAGACAGAAAACAGCTGGCAAGTGACTGGAAGATCACCGGTTTGTTTAGCAGATTAAAACAGCAGCGTTAACTACAGTTTCTTCCCATAAAATAAAAGTTAAAAAGGTTATAAATGTAGCTGAGGTTTCATGTTCATGAAAGGCTTCTTTAAAATGCATGACAGGCAGGAGTATTTTTTTCATCTTCTTTGTTTTGTAGAAAATTGGGCTTTTTCTGTTTTGATTCATCTGATTACCTCCAAATGCAGCAACAAGGCAAACCGACGATATCCTCAAACATGTAGGTCAATGCGTTTTGATCACAGCAGTCAGAAACAAGAAGGTATGAGCATCTCTTGAGCACCACCTCCCTGAGTGCACTTGTTTAGGCTCTGTAGTGCACCCGAGGTACGAACATGTGAGGACGGTCCTGGGTGAGTTAAAACCGTCATGAAACAAACTTCAATCCCAGATCAAGTCCTCCTTTACCTCTTGCTATAACCTGTGACCATGTCTCCATCACCCATGTCCACCTGCAGAGTGTGTGGGCAGTCGTAGGGTGACACCGACACCTCCTCCAACTCTTCCTCATCCTCCTCCTCCAAACCAGTCGAATCAGTCTCTGATTTCACTGAGCTGTTTTCAGAGTCATCACCTCTCCCGTATCCCTCTGAACGTCCTCCCTCCATGTAGAACTCATCATGCTGGAAACCGGAGCCGGTGCTGCTGTCCAGGTTCTCCATGAGATGGTTCTCCTCTTCAGAGCTGACTGACGGGTTCTTGCAGGGCTGGCTGACAATCGCCTGACTGAAGTGTTCGTGGGACATATGAGCATACATGTCCCATTCCCTGGGGTGCGGCTCTGAGATCTTTGTGACAAAAAGACAGACACAGAGAAAGGGTTTAAAAACAGCTGAAGCAACATAATTCACATAAATTGGTTTCTCATAATTTAACTCCTTACCAGAAGTTTGGGGAAACTGGGTATCTTCATTGTCCAGGCATTTGCATTATAGATGATAATTATTATGCCACTGATTAAGATGGCGAGGACGAACAGCATTACAGTAAGCGCTACAGCATGGAGCTCTGCAATTAAACAAAAAACAAAGTTTTAGAGGTTAAAAAGTTTCATGCATGTATGTGAGATAAGTTTTGGTTTGTGGTAATCATGCCTCCCTAAGGGCCTGTGCACATTCCGCGTTTTTTGCACCCTCAAATCTCTTGTTTTCAATATAGATGAGCGGAAGGCATGCTCAAAAGTGAGAGCGGCATCATCACGATGCGCAAGTGTTCCTTAGCGCCTGTTTTTCAGGGCTAGATGGAAGCGCTCTGACATGAACGGAGGGTGCGTTGGTACTCACTCCAAGTGCCGGAGTGCACTTTGGCACAACTGGACCGTAGTGACAGAGGGTGCTCTGGGTGCTCTGTCTGGGGAGACAGAGCACCCAGAGTGCCAAATGGAGTGAACAGTTTGTTAATTAATGTAGAAACAGAATGCTCCATTTCTTCAAACAACGGTGTCCTCATTTTAGTGTAGAGCGTCAGATTGGATTTACAAACACACCCAGAGTTCAACTTTTGGAAAGCAGCAGTGTTCACCACGTCATGTGAAGAGGAACAACCAGTCACAGCCGACAGATATCTCTCTCCCTTTCCTCCATAAATATCAGTCGTGAGAAATACGGAGAAGTTTGTTGTCTGTTGATATCAGTGCATCCCTACCCAGAGCTTTAAATGTGTCCAACGGACACTATTTAAAAAACGTCTGGAAGAAGATCAGCTCTCAAGATTTCTGCTAAGAAGGTTATGCTACAGTACTGGTTATGATGGCTTAGCAATCTTAGACGCAATCTGCCTATGCGCTCTTTAAAGCTGGCACAAAGTAAGCACAAGAGTAGCACACAGCGCTGAACCTTGCGTTTTCCAGGCGGTTACATCCATGTGTACAGGCCCTGATGCACTACCAGTATAAGAGATGGGGCACAAAATCCTCAGTGCTCGTTCGTGCAAAAAATACAACCCCCATTCCAAAAAAGCTGGGACGCTGTGTAAAACGAACAGAAGAACCTGGAGTTTCTTATTTCCTTCTTATTTTACTGTGTTTGGGACGCTCCTGGGCACAGCCCTCAGGTGAGGTCGTGACTTTATAAAAAGGTAGTGACCAGGTTCCAAAGCGTAAGCAGCAGGCATCTAATCTTGAATGTCAGCCTATATGTATTAGATTGTGCGGTGCACCTAAAATAGAGAGCAACAAGTGCGTAAATCTTCCCTAGAGCCTGGGTTAAGCGCCCAATGTCCTCAAATCCTAGAAACTCCTCTGGCTGCCCCTCAAACTGTTTATGTGCATGTAACGAACATATGCTTGGTTTATTTTTATTTTATGTGACAGCTGTCCCATTCAATACTTGTACACCAGAAGCATCAAACAAAGAAGTAGAAAAACACAACTGTCCTGTTCTTTCTGATTTTTCTGATGCAATATAATATAAATCTGCCCAGTTCAGACTCACCAGTTGATTCACTGAGACAAATGCGACCGCTCTCTCTGAACACCACCCCACCAACATTATTCCCGGCATTCAGCCATCCACTCAAGTTGACGCACTTCTCCACACCCTCAAGAAATGAGACATCATGTTTGCAGTGTTCATGTGCCGCTGTGCACTCAGCAGGTCCCGACTTCAAGGCTCCCTAAAAGTCATAAAACATAGAAAATTATTATTATTTGCATATTATTACAGTAATGAATACAGCATTTGAACTCCACTGTTTTAGGTTGGAGGCAGAAATGTCATATCTATTTTAACAAATCCCTCGTTCTTATTAAATTAAAACTGCCTCGATCAAGCAGAAATATCCAGGGCTGGAAAATATTGGTTATATTGGTTTGTCTGCTCTGGGCTACTGCAGAAGCATGGCGGTGCAACATGGTGATCTCCATGGATATGGACCTGCTCCCTATGATGATAAAAACGGCTCATACTGAGGCACTGAAAACACAACAATTCTAATTTTCAGGTGATTATACACTAAAGAGAACATCATATTCCATTTCTGCCAATACATCCCCCTAAATCCTACACATTGGAGCTATAACATCATCCACATGCAGTGCAACCTGTGGTAAAGTCTATAAACTCTGTTGTACTTACATCTGAAAAGACATTGTATATAAAGGTGACAGTATTCGGTTTGTCAGCCTCCTTCAGTTCTCTGTAGAAGTAGAGGGGATTCACAAAACTGACTGTGGCCCCAGAATCATTCTCATTCAGATCCGCAGGAGGGAAATCCAATGCACCTGTGAAGAGAAATTTAAGTTTTATCTCTGCAGGAGAAACTTGGAAAAGTAATTTCTCTTCATAACTCAAACATCTTCTAACTCTTCTAACCCTGTAGTGGGTCACAGCGAACTAACAAACATAAACATAATGCATCACTTAACATATTACTTACATCTTTTCTGAGGATAATTGAACTTGTTAAAGGTGAACGTTTCAGAATGTACTGATTTGGACTGGTTGCCGCCCTCTATGGCTGTTACAGTGACGTAATGGAAGGCCAAGTAGCGCTCTTCAGATTGCCAGACGAAGTGGCTCAGATCGTACTGATGGTCCGTGGTTTCGGTCTCATAATCCCTTAAATATGAGCAAAAATGCAACTGATTAATCTTCATTTTACTGATTCAGATCAGCAGCCAAAAAACAGCATCCAGAAACAAAAAAAAACAGGCTAGTGTTACCAGTTTTAAACAATACAGAAGAAGATTGATCATTTTACCTTTAATAGGTTCATGTATTGATGAGCAGTTTTAATCAAAACACATTCTTAAATCATATCAGATAAGCCTCTGATGGAAAACACAGTATTTTCCACAAATTATTAATAATTTCTGACCACTTGTTTTCTAGATGAGACTGACTGAGCTTGGGTACTTTAGTCTTGCACCGTGTACATAACATTTTGGCTGCCGACAAATAAAGGTGCAAGCATTTAATTACATGTGTAACTCAAACTAATTAAAGCACCGGTTTTTGTGACCAAAAAATCCTCCAGAAAGCCACAACTGTTTAAGCTTCTTCTGGACATGTTCTTGCGGGTGAATTTTCTCTGTTGCCGTCAGGGCGTCATTACGCTTTACCTGCTTGTAAAAGTAACCAGATTCAACATCTTTTATTCCCTCTGCGGTTCATCTTTTAAATTCTCCCATTCTTTAAATCTTTTTCATTGATAGTCAATTAACTTTTTTATTATGTATCCTTGATTCCACTAAAGTCCTTGCAATATTTGGATTTGTTTTTTTGTTTATTACTCATCTGCCAAATCTGCCAAAGTTATGTTTTTACAGGTTTACAGTCGTAGAGTCTCACCCAGCAGATCCTGTAATGTGTACCCGGAAGCTGGTTTGTGGTTGCCGTTCCCGGTACTTCCAACTGACTGTGACGTTGAGATTGGTGCAGCTCAGGGTCACATTTGTTGGAGGTAGAACTGCAAGTAAGAAAAGAGGAAAGATCAGCTGGATAATGCATCGTCACAAAGCTGGACACAGGGCTGTTCCTCTGACATCATGAAAAGTTAACTTTTTAGAGATTCATTATAACCTTCATGAGTTTCTGTTACTACAATTATTTTAGTCAGGTGTTCCTAATTAACTGGAAACTGAGTGTCTTTTGATTGCAATGACCTCATGTCCTTTTTCTTAAGGCACTTTTGCACAGACTAAATGAGAGCTGTAAAGTTGACCACCATGGTACCAGTTAGCTGCTAGCTAACCGTAGCTAACTTGTTTGTCCATTGGATCTGAATGGGTCAAGCTAAACACCAACGTCTCCACTGAATGCACAGAAATGAGATTAGTGTCAATTTATTTACCTCCTGATGGGACAAACAAATGTAACCCTATTTCCCCCCAAATTTGCAGTGCACCAGTAAGCATTCAGAATCACTTGTGGTGAAGAAACTCATGGGAAAGAAACAAAACTGTGATGAGTATGTCACTTATTTTCCAGTAAGTTGTATCAACATTCCCCACGCTGACAGAGCTACACAAGATCATATCTGTGCAGATGCAACACCTGTCCTGCACTGCTACAGATCAACTATGAAAGAACACTTTTTTTAACCATCATATTAGCCAGGGGAGGGTGTGTGAGACTGCAGCCTGCCAAAAACAAAAAATCCAGTAACACAGCTTTAATACTTCAGCCTTTTGTCCTACAACATGCCAGCACTATGGTGACAGGTGGCTGACACCTATAAGGAAGCAGAAGTACAATAACAGAGTACCATTCTGGTTGCTCTTCAGCATTCCACCTGAGCTCTCGTGGTTTGTCGACTACTGCTGCTCCTGTTTTGAATCCTTTAAGCCATTTGTTTTATTTGCTCTCACACTGAGGCCTACGTGAGTACAATGCGAGCAAGCGTCAGTTTGACCGCATTGTTTTCTGCTGGCACATTCAAACTGGCCGCAGGCGACACAGCCCTATTTCTACTTGTTCCTATCACTCGCTTTGACATCTCCACAATGGACAAGGAACAGCTGATATGTGAAGTTGAAATGAGGCGTTGTCTTCAGATCACCTCCTCATTTCACAAAATCTTAATTAGCAGGGAGGGGAAGCAGGGAGCTAAACGTTTCTGTAAAGACCATCGCTAATAACAACCTATTGTCTGTTGGCTACATTGCACTTCAATTCCATATACACACCAATCACCCAAAACATTAAAACTTGTGGCAGGTGAAGTGAATAATATTGATCATCTTGTTACAATACAATGTTCTGCAGGGAAACCTTTGGTCCTGGCATTCATGTGGATGCTGCTTGACACATAGCACCCACCCAAACACTGCTGCGGACCTAGTACACCCCTCTCATGGCCACGGCACTTCTTGATGACAGTGGCCCACCAAGCAGAACAATGCGCAATGTCACACTGTATAAACTGTTCAGGAATGTCCCAAAGAAAGTGAACTGTGGGGCCATTTTGGATCGGATTCTGCTCTGACGTCAAGGCATGGACACTGGACTTCAAGGGACGTCCTGTGGAGTCTGATACCGGGGCACTGGCAGTGGATCCTTTGAGACCTGTCGGTTGTGAGGTGGGGTACTGGCATGTCCCACGGATGCTCGATCAGATTGGGATCTGGGGGCTTTGGAGGCCAGGTCGATGCCTTGCACTCTTTGTCACACTCCTCGTGCCCTTTCTGAGTAGTTTCTGTGGTGAGGCAGGGTGCATGTTCTGCACTGCCATCGAGAAGGGTTACTGCCGTCAGGGGGGAACTTGGTCCGCAAGTGTCTGGATGACTGAAGTGCTTCAAGTTGCATCCACATGAATGCCAGGACCAAAGATTTCCCAGCAGAGCATGGCATTGTAACGAGATGGTCAACACTGTTCATGTCATCTGTCAGTGGTTTTAATGCTTTGGTTGATCGGTGTGTATCACAATATGAAACCTGTGTGTTCTGTTTAAACATTTCAAATATAGAAAGTAGGGTTGTCAAAGTAAACACGTTAATAACGAGTTAATGCAAATTCCTTTTAATGCTACACATTTTTTGATGCCGATTAATGCACGTATGTTCTGTAATTATGGCCCTCGGCCCACCCCGCAGTTTGGGAAATCAGGAAGCGACGCAGCAGTAACATTATGGATGGCGAGCAGAAACAAACCTCTGTGAGCAGAAATGGATTAAGGAAGGCGTCTTTTGAGTTCAGCTTCAAAGCTCTGCCACATGATTCTCTCAACAAGACCATGTGTGAATTGAGTTACCACCAGAGTATGTCAAGGTGCATAAAGAAGAGGGGATGTTTAGTTACATTTACAAGTGTTAAGCTGGACACTACATTGTGTTAGTGTTAAGTAATGTTACACTGAGGTCAATAAGTCTGTCTGTTGTTGCTTGTTAGGCTTGAGCTTGCCGTGATATGCTTTCAGCAGTACCTCCCTTCCATCAATCAGCTGCTCCATCAGTTGATAAGGCTGTTTGAGATCAGCTAATGTAGCTGGGATGTGAGCTGAGCTTGACATCACGTCCTGCCTGAACTAACGCTATGCTCAGTTTTTGAGGCAGCTGAAAGAGATTGCACCATTGACCAACCCGAGAAAAAGGGTCTGAAGTCAGAATGGTGCAGCATCTTCCTGTTATGGGACTCCTCACACGAGGGCCCTGTACACTCAGTCCCCTTTTTCTCCTCAGTTGTACGCACCTCGCCAAGACATAGGTGACATGAGGTGACGCAATAGTTGGCTTTTGTGGCCGCTAGTTCTTTGATGTTGGTTTGGGGTGTCTGGGCTTTTTGGGTTTCTTGGATGTTCATTACAAATTTCAACCTGATCCAGTGAAAAAATATAAGCAGCTGGTAATGCTCTGATTACAATCACAAAGAATCGCAGAAGTGATGAACTTTAGCTTTGAGGCCAAACTTTAAAAGTTCACAACTAGGATTTTGCAATTTCCCATGAATTTAGAAGTTTTCACATGAATGTTTTAAAGAAAAGTGATGACATAAACTGAGAGGTCAGAAGTGAGTCAGTTTGGAATGGCCCAAAAAATATGTGTAAAATGTCCACGTACTTTTGGCCATATGCTGTGCTGGAGCGTCCACTGTATACTTAATTTCTTTCTTTTTTTTTTTTTTTTTAAAGATATTTTTGGGGCATTTTTAGCCTTTAATGGATACGACAGACAAGTGTGAAGGGGGGAGAGAGAGAGAGGGAGTGACATGCAGCAAAGTGCCACAGGCTGGAGTCAAACCCAGGCCACTCCAGCAACAGCCTCATACATGGGGCGCCTGCTCTATCCACTAAGCCACCGACGCCCCACTTAATTTCTATAAATAAATTCCAAAGGCATGTGATTAAAGGTGAGCAATCGGTTTTCTATGAAATACAGGTATATGCCCGCTGTGAGCAGGTATCAGTCATTTGTTATCTGAAATTTATACATCACTGATGATTAATTTGATCAGATATAAAGCAGGCAAATCAGGACATCACCCTGTTTTTTTTTCAATGCAGTCTGCGAACACACTGACATTAAGGTGTTCAGAAAATTTCAGAATGTCATGATATGATTTGGAAAGTTTAAGGAATGGATCATGGCAGTGTGAAAGGGAAGTGGTCAGTTGTGTCACTGGGATAAATAACAAAGCACTCAATGGGAAAATCAGAAGGAACAGAAACTGTTGCCAAATTTACACTTTCTCATCATGAAACCACATCTACACAGAAGTCTGACCACCAGGAAACCACAAAAAAAGACAGGAAACTCCAGGGAGACTCATCTTAAAATGAATGAAGAAGGAAATAACTGCTCGACTCTTGACTCACGATGTTAAATGAAAAAATACCCTATGACGATAATGATAAAGCACCAGCTCTCAGGATACAGAAAGTCTGTCTGGCTACTTATTAAGCTGATCATAAAACAGCCATAAACATTCGATGCAGCCTGGACCTTGAGCACATTTATAACAGTGCCGAAACATTTTATATTCTCCACAGTATCACTTAAATCTCACTAAAAGTCGCCACAAAAACACAATTTTCTACAAAACACATAACACCCAAAACTTAAGTTCCAACAATTCCTTTCATTTTTGGGTCATCTACCAATTATCAGATGAATCAATCAAGAAATGTAGTTCATAACATCTATAAATCATTAACAACGATGATAAATGTCCTTCACAAGTTCCTAAGAGTCCAAAGTGCTGTGTTTTAAGGAGAGCGACTTCTTTTAGAGCCAGCGTGGGCAAATGGACCTGAGAGCAGTGAGAGCAACAACAACCTTGCAAATAAAATACATTACTCAGAATTTCAGCATCACTGATGGACTGTAGGTTCCTATGGGGGCGTGTATGTATAGTTGCAGCCGCAGAAATAGAATAACCGTTATTCTGTTTTTGTGGTTACGCTGCAACAAGTTGGATAAAGTGCATTTATGACATATTTCTTCATCTGACAGTCTGTACCGATGATACATTGATATTTAATACAGAGTGACGCAACTCAAAGCATCAGTGAAAGGTGATTTTTAGCCAATTTCAAGCCAAAACTCAGAACATAATCTGGTCCCAACCAGAGGCCTGTACTATGAAGCAGGATTTGGAGTTAGGGAGGTAACTTCAGGGTTAACGCTGGCTTTTCAGTACTATGAAGCTGGTTTCTTTTTTATCGGGATAAATCACGCAGGTAAACTTCAGGGTATTGTATCACTGCCTGTCAACTCTGACCTCTGACCAATCAGATCACTGAACAAAAAGGTATCCATGAACTCAAGTCCAGAGTCCCAGGGAAAAAAAAGTAAGTCAATATATTGTTATAGGTCAGCAGAATCATTTCATTGTTCCAGGGCTCTATATCCACTGGTTTTAAAACAGAGCTTCTAACAAACACAGAGACTGTTTACACACTAAACATGTGATTTTAAGTCAGCCATGATAGTACAGTGTTGATATTTTACACTCTGATTCATCACTGCAGCTCAAAATAACATCAGACACCTGTGTGATGAGAACGAGGATAAAACAGATATTTTATTTGTAAAATAATCCACACACTGTTAATCGTCTGCCGTCATTTTAAATGCAACATTTGGGTCAGACCTCATCAGTTGGTCGGTAACAGAAACGGTCTGGTGTTACTTCAAAGTGTTTTATGACATATTCATCGTCAGCCAACTAAATACCAAAAAATACTCTACACTTACGTCACACAGGCCCATAGCTCTGTGTTCCCTGTAACTTAAGTGTTGATCCCTGTAACTTTTGGATAGTATTTAAGATTACAGAGTGAATGGATCTGCTTTTACGTCTGGAACCTCCCGTCTACAATGAGCTTGAGATGTGTCCTCTTTGAGGACTTGGCACAGACTCTGGAGTTACTTCTTATCCTGAGGGGAACCTGAACCTGTTTGATTTGGAGCTGGGAATCTCTTGCGACCGCATGCCTTTGCTGAAGGTTGACCCTAGCCAGACTCGAGCCCTGGACGAGTGCTCTAACCACTACACTAGAGAGGCCCCTTATAAGATTTCAGAGTATCGTTTATATTACATGCCACTGACATTTTACTGTCTCGCAGTCGCAGACACTTACAGTTCCTTTAATCTCAAATCATATGAGGCAGCCTTCATTCATGGCTCTGATGATGTCACTCGTAATTAACACCCATGGCTGGATAGGAAAACCCAGAGTTGACTGAACTGGTTAATAACCTGCGTTGTAGCACCTGTTATCCAAACTACCAATGTTAAGGTTAGTCAAGCCAGATAACTTAAAGATTTCCTGGCTCCCTGTGATCCTGTGGACGCCGCCATTGTTGTTGTTGCTTGCCGGCTTGTGAGTGTTGCCAGATCTTGGGAGAGAAACAAGCAACCAGGGCTATGGAAACAGCGACTATCATGTGTTTAAATAACTTATTAGAAAAATATATATAGAGGAAGGTGACGTTTAGAGAGCAAACCCACATAAGCAACTCCACTTTAGAAACAAGCCCAAAGTCGCGGCTAATAAGCGGACCTGGCAACCCTGCGGCTTGTCCTCACATTTCTTCTGTCGTCCTGCGTGCTGACGTGGGACGTATCCCGCCTCTCATTGACTGATGCTCTTTGTCAGTCGTGTCACACTTCTCCAGTTTTCTAGCATGCCAGATATCCAGTCCTAGTCACAGACGAGGGGGCGACTTGCTCGTAGGCTTGTTCACACATGAGGACTCGTCGTGGCAGACTATCTGCCGACTCACCTCCGACCCCAGGTGGCTCTCACGATCCTCTGCGACGCCAAAATCGCGGTGAAAATCGTGTAATGTGAACTAGGCTCAAGGTGAAAAGGCTTCGTACTGCAGGCCTCAGGTTAGGTCTGCAGCATGAGTTACCATGGTGATGTAGACAGGTTAAAAGAGAGCCACTTCTGTAGGACGGAAAACTCAGGCTTTAGGCTCAACATACCTCGCTAAGACACTAACCTTGCTTTGTGGTCCACCCCTGATACAAATTATGATCAACCAATAAATAATGTTGTATTATTACATTATCTTTATGGGCTTTTTTTGGGCAGTATAAGTGTGAAAGGGGGAGAGACAGAGGGGGGGATGGCATGCAGCAAAGGGCCACAGGCTGGACTCGAACCCGCGGCCCACACGCACTTTACCCACTAAGCTACAAAGCACTCCAAATTATGATGCATTATTATATGTTCAGATAAAACTTTATTGATCCCTGAGGGGGAAATCCACAAGCTACCCAGCAGCTTATTAAATCATTAAAACAAGCTCCACCTCCACCAGCTGCAACGTTACAGCGACAAACACATTAATGCATCAACTCTGAATGATGACTGTGTGTGTGTGTGTGTGTGTGTATGTATGTACTTGCAGGACTTTTACTTGTACGTTTACTTTACTTGTATACGATCTGAGTCATTCTGTCACCACTGATAACACATCTTCTGTTTAAATAAAGGACTCAGTTAAAATAAAAAAACAACCACTGAGCACAAATAACAATTTAACTATTCTTAACTAATGATGTACACACATTTATGTGTTAAATTTGAAGTTTACTCCCTTTTTTGTATTATTTTAGTGAACAGAAAACATCAACAGTGACAATCACAGGAGGTCAAAGTAATGTAATGTTGACTTTGTGACAGTGAAAGGGACTTTTTACTTCATATTCGTCATTTAATTCAAGTCTGATATATTTTTAAGTGTTCTAGTTAAACAGAAGCATGTATAGACACTACACGTACACAAAACAAATGTAATAATTTAATTTTAGGGTCATACTGTAGCAGCTACAAAAGCTAATATGTAGTGTATTATAATTGAGTGTATCTACTCACCATTACCAGCAGAAACTCTACTGATGAGAAAGAGCAGGACCGTGAACGCACCACCAACCAGCATGTTTCCAGGCCTTCAAACTGTCCGACCAACAACCGCAAAACTCCGGCGTCCCTCTCAGCACCGACAGGCCGGGATCAGACCAGTAAAACCCTTCATCAGAAGCACATTCAAATCACTTCCCGTTACGACATGAAAAGTTTCTCGTCAGTGTGAAGTTCCTGATTTTCTTCCACAGAAATCCGCCTGACTCACATCCTTAACTCATTGCGCCCCGGCGTATGTGAGTGTGTGTGAGTGTGTGTTTGTGCGGGGGAGCGAGTAAGAGCAAAGGTGAGTCACCTGCCCGATCGGGAAAAACACCTTGATGACGTCAACGGATACTGTGAAGAGTACAGGTCCTTTTCTTGTTTTTCAAAATAAATGTTTCAGGGAGGAGAAATGAACAGAGAGGAGGGAGAGATGAAAAGATGGGTACTTAAATAAGTGGGTGAATAAATGAGCAAGACAAAACAATATGTTGAGGAGTGTCAAAATACAAATAAATGCACAGGTCAGTGTGCACAAATAGAAAGGAAGAGACAAATAAATGTGATATTGATGCCCAATTTAGCTTAAATCCTTACTTGTACTCAGAGAGGCTAGAGCACAGAAAAATCTATGTGTAAGTAATAAAAAATACACATTAAAAAATGATATTAATACAGGACTACTGAGAACAGAGGCCTTATATTACATGAATTATAGTTTTACAACTCTGTGATTTTATGAATCAGTTAATCCATGTTTTAAACTGTTTTTAATGTCCTTTTATATTGAATTACCTTATCTATATTATGTCCATCACGTTTATCTTGTAAAGCACTTTGCATTTCTTGTTTGAAAGGAGCTATATAAATAAAGATTATTATTATTATTACTATCACTATTAAATAATGTAATGTTTAAAAAAAAACAGAACATAATGCAAAAAAAAAAAATCACAAAAAATAAAATAGTGCAAAAATATCAGGATGAATAATGCACAATAGAAAATAATGCAGAATAATAAAATAATCATATATACAGTCAATATTTCAGCCCAAGAAATAGATATGTGGATTAATTATAATATAAATGAAATAAAATGGAGTTTAATGGATATTTTTTGTGTGTTGCACTTAAAGCCAACTTGTCCTCAATTATTTTACGGCTCACACGTGAACAGAAGCTTTTATTGTCAGGGCAAAAATCCCTTAATTTATAAAATAAATTACAGTAAATCCCTTAATCCGGTTGTGCACGCTCTTTAGCGCAGGTAAATAAACTCCTACTGAAAGCTGTTTTTGTCGCCACCTACAGATCACTCTCTGATATTACACTTTTTTTTTGGATAGTTGTAGCACCAAAAACAAGAGACATATATTCTGTATCACTGAACTTCGTATTATTTTTATCTGCTGTCATTTACACCAAAGCCCTTTTATTTTCATTTCCATTTGTTTTTCCATCACAAAAACCAAAATAATGGAAATGATTGGAAAAAAAATCTCAATCTTTTGAAACTAAGGTGCAGTCCTAGATATTTATATTCTGTGACACCCTGTAACCTCTCCCCAGAGTTGAAAACATCTGGTTTCACACTTAAGTTGTTTTCTGAGAACAGTTTTGACACGTTAAGCTGCAGATAGGATTGGTTGAGTCTCGACAACGTAGCATCTGTGAGCTTGGCTGCAACCTCCTCTGACGTCTTCCTTGAGTAAATATATTTAGTTACATTCCACCATTGCTCATCAATAACTTTTCCAGCACATGTAGACGTATGAATTTCTCGCAGAAGAAGCAACAAAGCATAAAAATAGTTTCAATGTAATTTAAAAAATGTCCCCTGACTGTAACATTACGGTATATCTAGGTTTAAAGACCAGTGTTGCTTCATGTAGTACAGTGTGTCTGTTCTCCAGTTGTTGTCATTTTAGCTTGAGCTGCTGTGACAAAGCATGTTTAGCTCACCGTGCGAACAACATCCAACTTCAGCAGAGTGAAAAGCAAAGCCTCTTACAGGATTACAGCTGCAGTCTTTTACTGAGAAAAAAGAGGAGCGACGTCCACTCACACAAACAGCATTCACCCAGGAAAACCTTCACAACAGGCCTGGCTAAGATGTGAGGCTAAATTATTAGAAAGTCCATTGAAGGACCTTACACTTAAATTGTTGCGTAATCATCTGTAAATGTAAATAAATCTGTGCATATGTGTGACAGGGTCAATTATACAGCAGTAATATGTGTGACACGTCGAATGTGCATTAATAATGTTGAGTATTATAATTCCACAAAATATGGTTCACTTATTACCTGACACACTTAGGCCTCTGCACTCAATATGTGGAATGTTTGAGGCTCAGTTTCTGTACCCCTACGTTCACCTTTAGGGATACCCCACCTATAAAGAGGTGTCTCCTGCCTTACCTCTCCCCTTTTACTGTTGTGCTCTGTGGGAGAGGTAAGCCACATCCTTCTTGTGGTCATTTCTGTGTTTTAGCGCTGTTAAACTGTTTGTAAATTCATGTCATGCTAACAAAATCTTGTTGTCAGGAGAGGATTAAACGGAGATTGCCTTCAAAGATATTCACGGTCTGGTCCTTATTGTATCTACAGAAAGCAGACATCACTAGAGTCCACCGGTTACATCTGTACTTCAGCTCATTATAGGAGTTAATTGAAGTCAGATTTTCACAAGGTTTGGACTTCAGTGTTTTGGCTATCTTGACTGCTATACTGGTTTCTACTTTTTAAAGAAGTACTTTGAACCTTTACTTAAGTAAAAGTCCCGCAATATCTAAATGTATCTAAAATATCAAGAGTTAAAATGCTTGTACATGTTGTGCAACCTGGGGGTCATGCCCCTCCAAAGGGTCACCAGATAATCCGAGGGATCGTCGCAAAGTTCTGTAACATTAATTGATTTTTGTTTTCTGGATTTTTCTGTAATCCATGGTTCAAATTACCAGCGGGATTTAAGGGGGTCTGTCCCCCTTTTTTGTGTTTTCCCGCCTGTTTTCTGCCACACCTGTCTCATTAGTCCTTCCCTGTTCCCAGAGTCTTCCCTTCACACCTGTTCTGTATTAGTCTTGGTTGCTCCATCCCTTGTTGTTAGCCAATCTCCATCTCCCTCCTTCTGCCCGTGTCCACCTGCTCCAGCTGTGTCTCGTTTCTGTGATTAGTTTTCTGTGTATATATACCTGTGTGTTTTCATTTGTTCTTTGTCAGGTCATCTGTGTTCCTCCTGCGTCCCTTCTGTGGCTGTTCTTGCATTCATCCCTGTGTTATTCCTGTGCTCATCCCTGTTCATCGCCTCCCGATACTGGATGTTTTCAGTCGGCCATATTAAAGCTTGCTTTTTGTTAGAAACTGTCTGTTGGTCTGCATTTGGGTCGTCCTCTGGACTGACACGTGACATTTGTTACCTTAAAATGAGCCGTAAAGAGTGGTTCTTCTTCCACAGAGTTAGCCATGGTGTTTCTACAGTGGCCCAGAATGGACAAACCAAACACTGGCTCTCGATATTAAGTTTTATAACTGAGTTTGGGAGCAAAGACCACGCCTCAGTCTCATCCATTTCCACACTAAAAGGATTTAAGCACACCATATCCGTACATATCCGTATCCCTCCCCTTTGACTCTGTTTCACATCCATCCCTTCATCCCACGACCCTCGCTCTTCTTCCCTGCTTCCCTACTTCCCCCGACCCCCATCCCCATCATCCATTATACATAATAAATTAATTGCAATCTATAACTCTATTGGCGTAGTATTTGTTAGTGAAAGGGCCACTGGAGTTTTTGCATTTGCATGTCGGCCACCGTCGTTCTCCTACACACTTGGCACACAGGAGAAGTTTCTGTTCTCCAGCCTCACTGCTAGATGGCACTAAATCCCACACACTAGACCTTCAAGTTTAAGTTGCTGATAATGCATCTGTATTTTCAGCTTTATCAAATTTTAAATGCATGGCTTCCACTCGTAATGACGTATTTTTACACTTAATCACTGGTATTTTTCTTCAGTAAAGCTGTATGTATGCTGATGTCTAAGTTGTAACAGATGGCAGAGATACAGAATTTAAAATCATGTGTTGTCATGCAGGGCGGTGGGATTACACAGAGTACCGTCAGCGGTGTCATGACAGGTCCGACTCTTTACCCATGATGCTCCTCTCCACCTCTGTATGCTCGGACCCGGCTCTCAGATTTCTGTCCACTCAGCTGGCCACGTGAGGAGTAATTACAGGCGCAGTCTGCATGCCTGGGCCAGTAATCCTGCAGGGACAAATCCCCCCCGCTGCCCCCGAGCACCGAGCATCCCGCTGGGTCGATTCCAGACAGATGTTGAACCTCACAGCTGGATTGTAGACATGTTAGTCTTTGATCAGCATCGCCATGAACAACATCTGGACCTCAGCAGCAGTATAACACATGCACTCTATGCTATTTGTTTAATTAACAGAAGGATGACACTGATGGGAAGTTTGGGAGTAATGAAGATGTTTTACTTGAGGTCCTGCAGTACAAACATGTGGCACTAGTGCTTTAGTATTTGGACTTTGGGTTACAGTCATTGCAAACAAATACACGCTGGTCCCAAATGACTGATGCTATTTAAAGGCAGCATCAGTCATTTGGGACCAGCGTGTATTTGCAAACAAATACACGCTGGTCCCAAATGACTGATGCTGCCTTTAAATAGCCTCAGCCGCAATAGCTGCAGTAATTATTCAATACACTGTGGGCCAGAGGGCACAGAGCTCAACCCAGACAGGCTAATCATTGTCTGTCTGCCATCAGAGGGAGTTTATCTTTGGCCTCGCTGTAATCGAGTATAACATGGCTGTTTTTTGATTACTCAGAGAGAAAACTGTTCCTATGCCAGCGATAATCCATCTGCCCAGTTATTCTGTCTGTTGAAAGCAGAGGAGCTCAGATTAACCTTGATTGATTATCAAAAAGATAAAAAACATTACTGATTAATCAGAGCCACACTGATATACACCTTTTTGGTAATGAGAGCAGCCACGTCAGGAGAACTGGAGATGTGACGGGTTTTGTGCATGTATTCAGTAAATAGTGTTGATTCAAAGACGACACTTAAACTATTTATTTCAGTCAGGATTACTGCACTGTGGGTTTTCACGTACAAAGAATTTACCCTGGAGAAAATAAAAATAAGAGTCATATAGAATAGAAAAATTATCAAAAAAATGAATTTAATCTTTATTTAACCAGGAAGTTTCTTCAGATTAAAGCTCCAGTGTGTAGGATGTAGGGGGATAAATTGGCAGAAATTTA